ACATAGTCGTTGATAATACAAACATTATAGCCTCATCCGAATGTAAAAAAGACTAAAAGTAATGCAAGCATAATTAATAAAATCGACAAAGCTAAGACTCAATAATATCAACTATGAACATCGCTATGTCTCTATGTACATACACAAAAAATCGATACATTCAGTTAAAAGATTTTCTGTATAATGAAATTGTTTTTTTGCTCGGTGGGTGCCAGGACTCCTGACACCTGAAGAAAAGCCCACCAGGCTGATCACATCATGGGAAAATCTGACAATGTGTGAAGCAGGTCTAGCTATTTCTTTGAACGTTTCCTAACACAAAATGAAGTTTAGGTTGGTCACTTTGAGCGAGAGACAAAAAGACCATAAGACAATCCACGCAGAAGTAACACGCCTCCCTCACCTGCTCCAAAGAAGCCCAAAGTCGTTTCATCTGCAGGCAAGATGATAACCTCATTTTCGGGGATGCAAAAGGCATTGTGTTTATTGATTATCTTCAAATGAGCTACGCCATCAAGGGAGTGTAGTATGTCAACTTGCTGAAGCAGTTCAAAAGGCTATCAAAACCAAATACCCTCTAGACCTGACGAAAGGTGACTTGTTTTATCAGAACAATACTCCAGCGGACAATTCATTGGTTTCAATATTTGCTGGGCATGATTGTGACTTTGAACTAGTTGATCAAACCCTCGTCATCTCCTGGGATTATCATCTGTTGCCCAACATGAAAAATACATGATTGTGAAACATTATGACAGTTATGATAAACTTATATATGCTGTTGCTGACTTTTTAACCAAGACTATGAACAGTAAGTTACCAGTTTAGCTGGAAAAATAGGCAATGCTGTTCTTAATAAGAAGAGTTAAAAGTAATGAATGCAATATTTCACAGCAATTCATAGTCAGCCTATGAGCTTTTCAGCCTAAACTCGTACCTGGAAAGAAACAATGAAGTTATTAATAAGAAGAGTTGCAATTAATGCATGCAAGATTTCACAGCTCTAGCATCACTCCTTCATAGTCAGCCTATGAACTTTTCAACCCACCATCGAGGAGGAACCCGAAAGAGGCTACGCCGAAGGGCGGATTCTCTTTCGGGGAGGTAAACCGGCCCTGAACCCGTTCATACGGGTTTAATGGGCATATTTTTAAATAACCGGCCTTGTGTCACATGATGCCACATGGTGACTGAAAATCCTCAATGAGTTGGTGAGTCACTCGATGTCGGACACTAAGAGTATCAGCGACCCCCACTAGATTTCTCTGCGTCATTAATAATTTGAACAAGTTCCTAACGTCGAACCTATTTTAGGACCGACTTAGTGAAACACAAGCCTCCACTGTAAAACTACTCTACAACAGTCAATAAAAGCATCATGTCTTCATAACATGCCAAGGAAAAATTGGTCGAGTACGGGATGATGTACAAAGACTCACGAGGTAAAACTGGATGTCTGGGGTTGGGGTGTGACACACTGCGGGTCACAAATGCCCCTGATATTATGACTATGGATGTCGGCAAGCTGGTGGAATATGTCACCGTGTGTGGATGACTGCGGGCAAACGCAGTAACAAAGTTGACGACACACCCTCCTCAAGCAAATGGTGAAGAAACCTTGCACAGAATGCGACATGAAAATCCTACCAGGGTGTGTGAACGGATTTGTAATCAGCGTATGGATCGATGCAAGATGCTCAGTGACAAGATTATTGCCGGAAAAGGTCGACCAATGTTGGAGGATGTATATTGGCTTCGGACAACAAACAACATAACAACTTGGCTAAACTGGATGCTGCAATCAAAGGCCTCGATTTGGCTCTCCAGCGGCAGATAATGAGGTTGCACATAAAAACCGATTCCTTGAGTGTGTACCACAGGCTGTTTGACGCCCTCATGGGCATAGCTAGAGTACGTACCAAAGCAGACGCTGGGGCGATGAAAGTTGGGTACAATGAAGGAACTGATCCAAGAATACAAGTTGTCTCTCGGAGTGTTGATAATCGCGTCAAACCAGAGCTTGGCAGACAAGATGACCAGCGTACCCCAAATGTGGCTCGATATCGCCAAAAATGTGGTTGAACCTCTACTACTTTGCTGGACACCATGAAAATACATCAACGTAGTAGGCAGACAGGAGTGCGGCGTAATTAATATTTTGTGAAGAAAGTTTGTCTTTCCGTTACAAAAGTCATAGTTAAGATCCGTTTGTTTTTTCTTTTTAAGATGGCTCATGCTGATAAAAGAAACGGGAAAAACAGCAGCCACCGTTTGACAAGATACGGTGTCTTGTGAAGTCGGTCCCGTCGCCATTTTTTTTCCTAAATTTACTGTCGTTTCCGAGGTAATGCTTGTTTTGCTACCTCCCATCTCTTTCTCTGATATGACCCTCACATTTGGTGGGAGAGCAATCGCTTGGCTGTTTTCCCTCAAAATCAACACACACTTGCCGTACATTACAACAACTTCCAAGTCAGATATCTCCCGGAAAGGGATATATTTGTTCAAAGTAGCAAAGTGGTTTTTGGACTACTGTAACTGGGTAGGACTATTTAGCAGGTAACCGTAATATACCGGTCCTCGTCGTAGTGGTAGACAATAGGCGAAGACTATAGGCGTAGCCAATAGGCTTAGTCCCTGTACCTCCACATCAATCTGTATTTATGGCTGACACCAGCCAATCATATTACTGTGAGGGGGAACCCAGGTATATGCATATTCCTTACAACAAAATTATTTCTTGCCCTAGTTAACCATTGACTGAGGGTTATTTTCGAAATCAGCTACCAGATTTACTTTATCCAACCCCCAGGACTTACTACTAAAACAGGAGTCAGTAGTCGTGTCATCAGTCTATATACCTAATTGGGAACTGGCGAAGTAGGTTCAAAGATTAAGCATACTTCTGTGTGGAGAGCTTCGGGTCTTCAACTTTAATGTGAAATAATCTAGACGTTTAATACACGATTTGTTAAGAAGAATTATGATTAAGTAAAAAATTCCGCCGGAGTTAATAGCTTTAACCATGACATAAGCAGTTGTTACGAGACTGTAGTTGTTATTCTTGACGCCGTTCGTAATATCACTACTAATCAGTGTATATTTTCGGAAACTAATTAGGGAAATATTAATTATTTTTTTAAGTAACTTATTTCGAATAATGTCTGTTCCGTGGGACTTTGAAGTAACTTCCCCTTCAAAAGAAAAAATATTTATTTCGATGCATTTGTTAATTAGGCTTAGAGCTTCCGGCAGAAAATATCTGCTTGACAGAAAGACCAATGGGGTTATTTCAGTATAGGATTTCTTAATAAATTTGGTTGAATAAAAGAAAGATCCCTACTTTGGTCTAAATTTTAATTATTATTTTGTCTGACGCATCATCTTGAAAAGCTAAATTTATTTGATTCATGTACAATGTCGTTGTTTTTCTCTTTTCATTTGGCAACAATGCACTAATCGTTTTGTTAGGACTCAGACCGGCTTATCAGGACAGATTTGAAACAATGGTTCATACTATTTTCATTGACTGGTCAGTAAACAATTTTTCCGTTAGCTGAAATGAGAGATGAATTCAGTGTGCATATGGCGTCCTGGGGAAAACGATAAACTACGTCCAACAGCAAGGTCTCTGATCAGGAGGTTTTGAGGAGCGTAGAACCACCTCTTAATTGCGAATGTTTCCAGGTCCACCCTGACCCGCGGTTATAGCACCTGTTAGGGTCCCAACATTGGGCAAATAGTTAACTAATGGCTCGGAATTGTTAATCAGAGAGCCGAGTTCCAATTTCCGTTGGGTTCGTTTTATTGACTTCGGAACGTTATGAATCCACCTACGTTTCCCCAGCTATTGATTAATTAGTAAGACGATTATCACTAAACCATTATTATCTGAAAAAATAAAACCATTATTACAATGTAAAAATCAAAAAAATATTCTGACTTTAAATAACCCGTAAAGGTTGATAAGCCGTAAAAAATGAATGACTCAAAAAATCGAGAGCAGTTGTCGAAATCGAAAAATCAATTTTTGTGATCTTTTTAGAAGGAGGCTCGTTTTTATAATATAAATACAGTATCAGATCGATCCCTTACTTCTTAAAAAGTTATCTTCACTTAGTTTTTATTTACAAACGTCAAAGTTTTTTAAAACCTTGAGCACTACTTAAATTGACTGGTCCGTCGTAACAAACAGGGAAAAAAATTGGGAGGGTAATTTTTGTAGATTTGGTATCTATTAGTTTTTCCTCAAGTCAAGATATTATTAATTTCAGAAAGTGGGTCTTGTTTCTTATATAAATACAATATCGGATCGCTCCCTGACTTCTTAAAGAGAGATGTGGACTTGTTTTTATTTACAAATATCAAGATGGAGTCTGTAATATTACGAAGTATAGAGAAAAAGGATAATATCAGTAATATGTGTGCGTATACAAACGTAAGAGCCGGACTACCGGTAATTAATAAAGGCGGCAATCCCAACACAGAGCCGCACACAACCTCACAATTCAACCATTGTGTGGCTCAATCCTTTGGGCCAGATTTTCTCAGCCATTTTTAATTAAGGGCACATTTGTAGAATTATTAAAACTCTAGGGCGAACTTTAAATTTTAATCAGGAAAATTAGTGAAGGAACTTTAAGACATTACTTTTTATATTTGTTCTATTCTAGATGAATGAGGAATAACCAAAACGGAGGTTGGAATCGAAAAGGAAATCTTTATAACATCAACAAAATACAATACTCGCCAGCGGCGTGAAGTAGATAAACCACTGATAGTGTTGGACTACATCGACACCATATTACCCCCACTTACAATAGTGTCCAACGTACTTATCAGGATTGGGACATACCTATTGGTCTACATAGGTACGGTATATAACATTATCTCAATCTTTTCATATCTATCTATCTATCTCAGTCTGAACATTATCTATCTATCTATCTATCTATCTATCTATCTATCTATCTATCTATCTATCTATCTATCTATCTCAGGCTGAACATTATCTATCTATCTATCTATCTATCTATCTATCTATCTATCTCAGACGGAACATTATCTATCTATCTCTCTATCTATCTATCTATCTATCTCAGGCTGAACATTATCTATCTATCTATCTATCTATCTATCTATCTATCTATCTCAGGCTGAACATTATCTATCTATCTATCTATCTATCTATCTATCTATCTATCTATCTCAGGCTGAACATTATCTATCTATCTATCTATCTATCTATCTATCATCTATCTATCTGTTGTAACCTAGAAAAGGTTACTGAATGAGGAATAACCAAAAAACGGGGGTTGGAAATGAAATAGTAATCTTTATAACATCAACAAAATACAATACTCGCCAGCGGTGTGAAGTAGGTAAACCACTGCTAGTGGTGAACTACTTAGACAGCAATATTGCCCCCACTTACAATAGTGTCCAACATATTTATGAGGATAGGGACAATCCTATTGGTCTACATAGGTACGGTATATAACACTATCTCACTCTTTTCATATCTATCTATCTCAGTCTGGACATTATCTATCTATCTATCTATCTATCTATCTATCTATCTATCTATCTATCTATCTGTTATAAGCTAGAAAAGGTTACTGAATGAGTAATAACGAAAACGGAGGTTGGAAATGAAATGGTAATCTATATAACATGAAGATACAATACTCGCCATCGGTGTGAAGTAGGTAAACCACTGCTAGTGGTGAACTACTTAGACAGCAATATTGCCCCCACTTACAATAGTGTCCAACATATTTATGAGGATAGGGACAATCCTATTGGTCTACATAGGTACGGTATATAACACTATCTCACTCTTTTCATATCTATCTATCTCAGTCTGGACATTATCTATCTATCTATCTATCTATCTATCTATCTATCTATCTATCTATCTATCTATCTGTTATAAGCTAGAAAAGGTTACTGAATGAGTAATAACGAAAACGGAGGTTGGAAATGAAATGGTAATCTATATAACATGAAGATACAATACTCGCCAGTGGCTTGATGTAGGTAAACCACTGCTAGTTGTAGACTACTTAGACAACATATTACCCCAATGCTTACAATAGTGTTCATATATAACGCATGATGTACCTTATATGTGAGAAACAATCTCATAAGTACCCACAAAGAAGTCTAACGGTAAAGTTTTCATTTAAAGGGATTTATGAAAAATGTTTTTAGAGACGCTCATAATGACGGATAAGAAAGCCAAAAGGGAAAAGAAAATCTTAGACTCGTGAAAGGTTAAGGAATTTAGCTTTCTGTTTAAAATATCAAATGATAAAGACTTGACTTAGACATCGGAGTCATGTATTTGGTTCCTCTAACTAGTTAACAATAAAGCTTCTGGTGTATACTCATTTTTTTCCGGCCCCTGACCATGACCTAATGTCTTGAAGAAGAAGAAGAAGAAGAAGAAGAAGAAGAAGAAGAAGAAGAAGAAGAAGAAGAATGAACTTCAGTAAATTGCCGTGAAATTTTGGATTGTAACATATCAAAATAAAAATGAATTCCCACAATGGTCAATACTTGTTTAATTATGAGACAGAAGAAGTCCAGCATTTATGTAATTTACACAAAATAAATATCATTTTCCTCTATGATATTTAGATTTTATAAATTTAAGAGCAGTACTAAATTAGCGGGAAGATCTTTAGAGTTGAAATAGAAGAGATTGAACCGTAAGTTCTATGCTGACAGTTTCTTATCTCGCACTTTTCGCTTGTGGAACTTTCTTCTGGTTTGTTATTATTCTAAGTCTGATCTTCCAAAATTTAATGCCAATCTTGTCTTTTAAATTCCTCTTCTTTTATTGTTTTCTCTTATAAATAATTCTTTGTTTTTCTTCATATTTTTTCACACTCAGTAATCCTCTGCGTCTTAGTAGCTACTTGCGATAAATGCCTTGCTAATGATTCTGTGACAAAAAATTTTTTTATAATCAGGAAAAGTCGTAAGTAAGCGTAAGTGACAGGATAAAAAAATGCTAATGTTTCTTCATAGAAATACTTGAGAAAGTTAAAAAGAAGTGAAACGTTGCTAAATCTAAGAATTATATTAGGCTAGATATTTCATACGTAAAACGTAATTTTTTTCATGTCGTTAGAGTCCATTTTGCACATTTGCCAATCTACCATCCGTCCGTGCATTGAACACTGGTGCCATTTCGGTTCTGGTGCTTCTGCTATTTATCTCGAGATTCTTGACAAAATCCAGAGAAGGATCTGTAATGTAATCGATCTTGACTTGGCATCTTCACTTCAATTACTTTATCACTGACGTGACGTAGCTTCCCTCTGTCTTTTCTACAAATATTTTCATGGCTACGGCTCTGACGAGCTTTTTTCCTCAGTGCCCCGACTACATGAATTTAAGCGAGCTACTAGGCTGGCATTTAGGTCCCACCCGTTTACTGTTCCAATAGAGAAATACTACCGCTACTTTTACTCCAACAGCTTCTTCTCTCGCACTTCCCGACAGTAGAGATCCCTTCCGATTTCTTGCTTCCCTGATAACTACAATCTTCAAAAATTTAAATGCAACATCAATCACCGTCTTCTGTCTTCTTATATCTCGTTCATATCCCCCCTGTAAACCTCTGCGTACTAGTGACATTCCCGACTTGGGGTGAAATTACTTCTAAAAAATATACAAAATTATTGTTTAGCCACTTTAGAATGTCTTGAAATTAACGCCAATGTTCAGGGTGTGCGGTTTCAGATGCCTCAATCGAACGTTCGTAATATCAATAATTCTTTATTCTTCCTCCCGGATGTGGCATTTATATAACTTCCTGTTATCCAGTTGTCGTTCTAAATTCATCTACATTCATTTCCTGTTTATGTCAGCGCAGCCACTGATAACGTTTGAAGCTCTATTCTGCAATTAATGGTTTTGATGACACCTTCCAGAACAACTGTCTGAAACAACGTTCTCATTTGATGTTCTGTTGTGACACCGAGTACAAACCTTACTTTGATACGTAAAATGACCTCAGTAGAGGTCAATTTAAGAGAGATAAAATAGTCCTTATGGGCATTAAATTCGATTCAAACCTCTGGTATTTTCTGGTGTAAATCGCATACTACAAATGAATTGTCAGTGATCTTGAATTAGCGAAATCAATGCTGATAGAATACTGGATTTTAGGAGCATAATTTTTCAGTTTTCGATTCTTTCGACAACAAATATTTTCATAACAATCTAACACACAAAGTTTTTGACTTTCATTTTTTTTACGAACCATCAGCAACAAAGACTCAATTCACGAAACCCCAGAAGTGATAAAAGCTTACTTTAGATAAAAAGTAATTCAAACTTTACATATTTCTATTGATATATCATTTCCTCGGGTTTTGTAGCACAGGGATTCTCTTTGGAGAAATTCTTTTCTTTGTTAATCAGGCAACGATGTCTTTAAAGCGTTCCATACACGTTTTTCTCAAAGATATCTCGACATTACTTTTATTAACTTTATGAAACCTAACAAGGCGCTGATTTCTGACTTTCTAATAGAACATTCTTTGAGTTCCTTTCCTTCAACTTGTATAAAGTCAAAGAGAGAAAGGTTTCTTATAAAAGTAGGGATTTGCCGGGATTAGTAAAATATAGTCTTAAATTCTTACAATAATCAAAACATTTTGTCAATGTTTTTTTTTTGTTCGTGATATTTTTTTTTATTATTTATTTGTTTTACGGCATATCAAGTTAAATGAGCTATTTAATACCAACAAGATTTTTAGGATAGATTCGTATGAATAGAATATGTATTCTTTGTAAGAAATCAGTTTTTAGATCAGAGTTTTGGTTTATTTTGTTTTACAGCTTATCGATCTCAATGGATTATTTACTGCCGACAAGATTTTTAGGATAGGTTCGTATGAATAGAATATGTATTCTTTGTAAGAAATCAATTTTTAGATCAGAGTTTTGGTTTATTTTGTTTTACAGCTTATCAATCTCAATGGATTATTTAATGCCGACAAGATATTTAGGGTAGGTTCGTATGAATAGAATATGTATTCTTTGTAAGAAATCAGTTTGTAGATAACCGAAATCGTGAAGTGTGATAGTCAAAATGGTTAAACCGTAAGTTCTATGCTAACAGGTCCTTTTCTTCTTTTTTTTAGTTTTTTTGTTTTTGTTTTTATATTGTTATCTCTCCTTATTGTACCCCCCCACTGTGGTGAAATGATTTAAAAAAAAATTTTTTTTGCAGTGCGTATCTTCTCCATTAAGCTGTACGACCTCTGAGAGAAAAACTTCCTCAAAATATTTACAGTGGTTAGCAACGCAGTAGTATAAAGTAATGAGGTACTGGGCTTCATTCCACTTTTCTAGATGTTGGATTTTAATTTTACTGGCATACACGCCAAATCTTCAATGGTAAGTGGGACAATAGTTGAAACATTTTGGAAAATTCTCTCCTGAAGTCGGTGAATTAATCGTTTATCAACAATTGTGAGGACTTCTTCTTCTTCTTCTTCTTCTTCTTCTTCTTCTTCTTCTTCTTCTTATTATTATTATTATTATTATTATTATTGCTATTCTTTTATTAACTTTAGTTTCTGTTGTACACTCGTTTCTTTTGGGTCCCAAACATATTTTACATAGATAAATCCCTTCGTAAGGTGTGGGACGGACTTGTGAACGTCATTTTTTGTATTTCTTTCAGGCATGGGCTACCATAGTTAACTTCAATGAGTCTATTGGAATATTTTTCAATCAGTCCGATGTCTGCAACTACAACTGGAATTATTAATGTACACATCAGCTGCATTTTTCAGATTTCGATTACAAGCTTCTTCAGTATCTGTTTATATTTCTGAGATGAGGTATTATGTACACTATTTACATTATTCGCACTATTATCCTCATCTTTGTCACCATATTTATTACAACGTTTCGGCCCTTCAGTATCTGTCTATATTTCTGAGATGAGGTATTTTGTACACAATTTGCATTATTCGCACTATTGTCCTCATCTTTGTCGCCCTATTTATTACAACGTTTCGGCCGTTGTATGCTCCGGCCTTCTTCAGTATCTGTCTATATTTCTGAGATGAGGTATTATGTACACTATTTACATTATTCGTGCTATTGTCCTCATCTTTGTCGCCATATTTATTACAACGTTTCGGCCGTTGTACGCTCCGGCCTTGTTCAGTATATTTCTATATTTCTGAGATCAGGTATTATGTACACACACTATTTACATTATTCGCACCATTGTCATCATCTTTGTCGCCATATTTATTACAACGTTTCGGCCGTTGTACGCTCCAGCCTTCTTAAAGGTTTCAGTTCGGCATTCCAACTATCTGAAGAAGGCCGGAGCTTACAACGGCCGAAACGTTTTAATAGTGACAGGTGGGTGGTGTCCATACCAATTTCTGGCAGTTTCCTTTCCGTACGTCTTTCAGATTTTTATTCAGTCAGTTATGTGCCATACGTGATACACGATTAGGCGATCATGTATCTTTCGATAAATGACTGATGAGGCTGATTTTTTCCCGCAGGAGGTTGCCATTTCTTTCTGCAGTAGACCAGTTGCCATCCAAGGCTATAGAACCCGGTTTGTCCTGCTATTTACCCATAGCTGGGGGGAGAAGAAGAGGATCCATACCTTTCCCAAGGGATAGTCAGTTATGTGCCATGCATGATACACGCTTAGACGATCGCGTATATGTCTTAAGTTTGTCTTTATTATTATTATTATTATTATTATTATTATTATTATTTCCTTTGATTTCTTTTGTAAACGCATTTCCTTCAGAAAGTCATAGTCATAAATGGCTTCATGGTAAAAAAAAATAACATAACACACATTTTACATAAAGCTCTTCGTAATTTAATTATGAATACAATATTTTGTATCTTTAAGACAGTGATTACCAGGAAGTTCTTCA